ATTTGTGATTTTGGCAGTATAATGACATATGTTATTCCTCCAGGGATTAATGACGAGAAGCGGGATTAATGGTCATTATGCCACAAAAGTGTCAGTGTCAAACGTGTAGTGCTTGTGGATTTGTATTGAAAAAATGAGACGGATGAAATTTGTTCATTGAAAATCTCAAATAAATTAATTTGTCGTAAATAAAGTAGAGTATACTACTCGCAATAATGGCTATTATTCCCTCGGAATGTTACTCCCTCGCCGCTAACGCGGCTCAGTTCGTAATAAATCCTCGGGAATAATAGCTATCATTATTGACTCGTGGTATAATCTACTATTTGTTCACTGTCCATCCCACAACAATATTGGATCAAGAATAATTATTGTAAATGTTATCTGAATTACATATATCTGATGTTTTCGGATTCACAATAAATGAGATTTTTAAATTACAAATGAAATTTTCTAAGTTACATTCAACATGTCTGAGCTACAAGTGAGGTTTTCTGAATTACATTTAAAAAATCTGAAATACAAGTGAGGTTTTCTCAATTTTCTGAATTCCATTTGAAAAATCTGAATTACTATTGAGCTTTTCTGAAATACATTTATGTTTTTCTTAACTTACAATTTGGAAAAGATGTAGATACAAACTACTGAAACGCCGCCTATAATAAAAAATTACAACCGGAATACGCCTACTCAGAGACAGAGTACCTACCAACCGGAACTCGCTTTTTTCGGCCATGACTTCAATTTAATTTGGCAACCCTGGCTGTCCAAAAAAAAGCAGAAAACATGTCAACATTAATAATTATGATTCATATGAAACCCAAGGTTCCTAACGGGGTCCTTGAAGTTAATAGGTAGTAGCCTTGTTCTGGCAATGAGAAACAGATGACGTCATCAGGGGTGCGCAATGAAACTGGAGAATTGTATTATGCTTAGGCACCCCAGATGATGTCATAAATTGTTATCAGCTAACTCTGTAGATTAAACAACCCTTTCTCATAATGCCCAGTAGAACGGTAGAACCTACAAAGTTGCTATAAAACTAAACATTGTTAGGCCAATTTTACCTGTATAAATGCATCTTTATAATGAAACTAATGGAAACCAGCCTTTAGTTTTCACTAAAATTCAATTTTTATCAGAAATTAGTGCTTACCTTGATGCTGAAACAACTTCTGATTACCACCATCTCGAAATGTCCAAAAAGCGATAGTTTTTTTGTATTGTCTTTTGGCCCCCGAGCCAATTGGACACAAAAAACACTTTTCCACGCAAAAATTGTAGAAAAACTAACAAAATTACCTAAAAAACGACCCGCATACTGTACGACTCCACCTGGCCAAATGAACTTACCACCAATGCCACTTGTCATAAGCTGAAACTTTCGACAATTGGGTCCGTCTCTTTCTATCTTGTGCATTTAAAATGCGCTAGAAATAGTTGGTTGTTTGCATAGCCTACTTATGAAATGTGAATTTGAATTTGGACTCAAAAAGCGATATTTTTTGAATTTCCTCGTGGCCCCCGAGCCAGAATAGATTAATTTAAAAGAGAATTCTGCATTTAAAACCCCTTTAATAATTCATAGAAGTAGAACCTACAAAACTGCTATAAAACTAAACATTTTTAGGCCAATTTTACCTTTAAAAATGCATCTTTGTGATGAAACTAATGGAAACCAGCCTTTAGTTTTCACTAAAATTCAATTTTTATTAGAAATCAGTGCTTACCTTGATGCTGACCACCACAATCTCGAAATGTCCAAAAAGCGATAGTTTTTCGTATTGTTTTTTGGCCCCCGAGCCAATTGGACCCACAAAACCCTTTCCGACACAAAAATTGCCGAAAAATTAAGAAAATCCCTAAAAAACGACCCACACTGTACGACTTCATTTGACCGAATGAACTTGCCACTAATGTCACTTGTCATTAGCTGAAACTTTCAACAACTATGTCTTTCTTTTTCTATCTTGTGCATTTGAAATGCGATAGAAATAGTTGGCTGTTTTCATAGACCACTTGGGATATGAATTTGGATTCAATTCAATGGAATTTCCTCGTGGCCCCCGAGCCAATTGGACGCACAAAACACTTTTCCGCACGAAAATTGTCCAGAAAATTGCCGAAATTTCATTAAAAACGACCTGCACTGTACTAATGTCACTTGTTGTTATTAGCTGAAACTTTCTACAAACATATCCGTCTCTTTTTAGCTTGTGCATTTAAAATGCGATAGAAATAGTCGGCAGTTGCATGTTGCATAGCCCAATTGAGATGTGAATTTGAATTAAAAAGCGATATTTTTTCGAATTTCCTCGTGGCCCAAGATTCCCAAAGTTAATGATGATGACGCATCTGAATTGCCTTATGAAGATTTGCATTATGTTCGAGGCATATAGATGACGTCATAAAGGTATCAGGCAACCTACCCCCTCAAACAACCTTGTTCGTGGCCCCCGAGCCAAATGGACTCACAAAATTTCCGCATGAAAATTGCCAAAAACTTGAGAAATTCCCTCAAAAACAATTCGCACTCCAAGGATTGTTTGAAAGAGTAGGCTGCCTGATAACTTTATGACGTCATCTGGGGTGCCGCAATATAATGCAAACCTCCATAAGGCATACCCCAGACGCGTCACCAATTTACCCATTACCACACAACCTATGAACTTTAGGAACCTTGCCCGCACTCTAGGATTCCATTTAACCGAATAAACTTGTCACAAATGTCACTTTTCATAAGCTGAAACACAATTATGTCCGTATCTTTCTATCTTGTGCAATTAAAACGCGATAGAAATTGTTTGCTGTTTTCATAGCCCACTTGAGATATGAATTTGAATTTTGATTCGAAAAACGATATTTTTCGAATTTCCTCGTGACCCCCGAGCCAATTGGACGCACAAAACACTTTTCCATACGAAAATTGCCGCAATTTCTCCAAAAACGATTCGTACTGTACTACTCCATCTGATCATGACCGAATGTCACTAATGTCACTTGTCATTAGCTGAAACTTTTCGCAACTATGTCCGTCTTTTTCCAGCTTGTGTATTCAGAATACGATAGAAATAGTCGGCTGTTTGCATAGCTTACTTGCGATTTGAATTTGGATTCAAAAAGCAATGATTCTTCGAATTTTCTCGTGGCTTCCCAAGGTTGTTTGAGAGGATGAGTAGGTTGCCTGATAACTTTATGACGTCATCCGGGGTGCCTCAACATAATGCAAATTTCCCTAATGCATCCCACCAGATGCGTCATCAAGTTAACCATTACCAGGCAACCTATTAATTTTAGGAACCTTGGTGGCCCCCGAGCAGGGACATAGCAAGTCAAGGGTACAAGACTACAGCGGGCCCCTCCAGCCTATGGACATCGGAAAATTGAAATTCTTTGGGGGGGGGGGGGGGGGGGAGGGGGAGGAAGGGTTATATGCAAAATAGCGCATGGCAAATTCGTATGCGAGACATTTTTGGAGGACTAACATACAATCCCACAATTCCCACATCCTGCAGGGGATTCACTGATGTGACTCATGGATTTCCAAGATTGATAATGACAATTGACAATATTGAAAAGAGTACTGGGACTCAGAGGGCTGACGCTGACTAAAAAGAATTCTCTATAGATCGATATTACAGTTTTCTGTTTTGATTACAATAAGCCAAACCGAAAAATGCACGCCCTGTTGCTACGTCCCTGCCCCCGAACCAATTGAACGCACCAAAACACTTTTTCCGCACGAAAATTTCCAGAAAATTACCGAAATTTCGCCTTGTACGATTCCACCCGACCGAATGAACTTGGCATTAATGTCACTTGTCATCAGCTGAAACTTTTGACAACTCTGTCCGTCTCTTCTTAGCTTGTGCATTTGAAATGCAATAGGAATAGTCGGCTGTTTAGCGATATTTTTTCGAATTTCCTCGTGGACGCACCAAAACACTTTTCCGCACGAAAATTGCCGCAATTTCCTAAAAAACGACTCCATTTGACCCAATGAACTTGCAACTTATGTCACTTGTCATGAGCTGAAACTTTGTCCGTTTCTTTCTTTCTCATGCATTTAGAATGTGATAGAAACAGTTGGCTGTTTGCATAGCCTACTTGAGTTGTATAATAACAATATTTAACCAGAAATGAATTTAAACGAGGCCATAATAATTAAGTAATAAATAAAAATTAAACAGTTAAAAGCAATTTTGTATTTGAAATAATATTGTAAAAAAGAATACTGACCCCATAACCAGTCGCCATTGAATTTATTTTTTTATTAGGGCAAAAAGGTGCAAAATTCTAGTCGTGGCGTATAATAGCAAAATTTTCGAAAACAAAAAGTGATAAAAAAATTGTTATTTATTTTTTAGTTCGGGATTATTGATCGTTGATTAAAATGATTGTTCGGCTTATTATTATTATTATTAACAAATACAAGATTGTAACAAGAAGTAGAATTTTCTAGTATAGTAGGATTTTAAATGGCCATAAGAATACTCATTACAGTTTAAGTATATTTTTCTTTTATTGTTAACTGCCTTCCTTAAGACAAACCATGTTGCCACACAGAATGTTAATTACAAATAAATCATTAAATTTTAATAAATAAAACAGTTGTTTTTATTTATTAAACAATAATGATCTTTTATATAGGTTTAAGACTGGGATATTATTATTAAAAAAAAAAATAACGAACAGGGTTAAATTTTTCATTTAACTTTTTTAATTTAAAAGACAATCCTTTAATCAATTATTATTAATTAAAACTCCGGATACTTATTTAATTAGATCTATTATAATATGTGTTTTAATAATTGGAAAAATAAAGTAATTGCGTCCTTTAATTAATTTAAACAAAAAGAGAATCATTTCAAATAATATTTTGTTTGTTTAATAATTTTACAAATATGCTCAATCAATAGTTTTTTTTAATACAAAGAAAAAACGCAATAGATGATGAAATAGTATTTTTGCTCAAAAGTACAAATACTGTAAATAATAATACCGGAATTGTTTTATATTATAAATATATTCTAATAGAAAAATGATGAAGTGGAATGAATTGATTCTCTTGGTATTGTATATTTAAAATAAAATATGAATGTATTTGTTAAATATTTTGCGTTTTATTTCAACTAAATTTTTCCATACATTCTAATAAAGCCATATCGGTAATAGTCATTTGGGAAGACTCCATGCCATCCAATTGATCGATTTTAATGATTTTTTGCTGACATTCTGCTTGGAATTGGTTTCTATCCAGATTTTCAAAGTCTTGTTCCATCTGCTCCAAAGCTTCTTGTAAATGTTTGTATTGGGAATAACGGGCAAATATCACAGACAGGCCTCCAATGGCAAGAAAATGCCTTCCGAAGCATTGTTTTATTGATAAGTTACATATTGAGATTATTTGGCATTCTTTTACTGTGTCCAAGACTAGGATGTTGTTTGGGGAATCTTCAATTTTTATTAGGAGTAATCTGAAAATATTAGATTAGAGATGTTCTTCATATACTTAAATAAAATTGTGGAAATCTAGAAACTTTAGTAGTGATAGTTTGACAGTTCCGCGCCCTCCGTCCTCCGAAGAAGATTTATCGGAAATATGCCTCTAGAATTATATAGCTGTATACAGTTTTAGACAGGTCTGTATATACAGCTATACAGGTCTAGATATAAATCTGTCTAAAACTGTATACAGACCTAACTTGTCTAAAGCTGTATCAGACCTGTACATACAGCTGTATACAGACCTGTCTAAAACTGTATACAGCTATGCAGGTCTAGAGGCAGGTCTGATACAGCTTACTGGTAAATCTCCTCTGGACGACGGAGGGCGCAGAACTGTCAAACAATCACTACTAACTTTTTCGTTTCCTTTCAAAATTTGCAATGCATTTCCATCTAGTATATATGGGCTAAATCAAGGGGTGTTTCACCTAACCAAAGTAAGGCAATGTTTAATAACACTGTCTAGTCAATGTCTACGGCAATTGCTGCGAACATTTCTGTCAATGCCGGCAATGTTGCCATCAATCCGGCATACACACACATTATTTCGCTCGATTTATCGTGACATGTTGGGATGTGGCGGTTAGCATGCGCGAAAGAATGACGTGGCAAAAAAGTGTTATGTTCCATACATTTGACAAAGTATTCAAATAATTTAGCATGTGATTACGCGGGGCATATCAGTTCCGAAGGAAAAATCGGGTGTGAACTGCACTATCATCCGCGTGTTACTAAATAAACCAAAATGATGTACCGCCACGAATGCGATGATTACGATTCACGAATGCCAATGCCAAACTACAGCTTGTCAAACCATGTTTAATTTAACAACACTGTTTCTCTACCATTCCCCCACGGTGTTTACACCAGCTGAATTAAGCCACATGCGGCATGTACTCGAGTACCCACAGCAGATTCCAGATGAAAGCACTTGTGAAATCCCTCCCCCTTCTATCATTGATGCGTGCAGCCTCACTCACGCACATGATTTTTGTAGATGACACGATAAACCGCGCGAAATAACGTGTATGTATGCCGACCTAATGCCGTCAATTTCGCTATCACTGCCTCAATTTCCCTTATTTATCTATTCAATACCCACAATACCTAAATCATTACTCTCACTGCCAAAAATTTGTACACCAATGCCGATCGTGAAATACCCCTCGAGCTAAATCAATCTCTCTTATGAACTAAAGAAGTTGATTCTTTGCAAAACTATATTTAAATCAGAATCTATAAAACTCTGAAGACCAAGAATTGTCATTTGAACTTCTTTACCTTTTATTTATATCCGCTAGCCAAACCTTTTGACAGTCCACATCTATTTGCTTCCTCACCACAAACCCCACGCAATCAAACTCCCGAAACTTTTGCTTAAAAACAATACTCAATTCCTCAATTTTTGTAGCTTTCCTTTTGAATTTCGCGAATCTCTCATCTTTGGATTTAGCCTCGCGTTTGAATTCAGTCAGTTTGCTGGCTCCGAGACCCCATTTCGCTGTACAATTGACATTGAATACACTCACAATGTCGCCTTCTTTGAGTTCGTCCAAATGGTTTTCGCTCGGTTGCCATATGAAGAAGTCTCGGATTTCTAGGGAGTTTGTTGCAGTGTCTATTAGTTTTAATTTTAGCATTGAAGTCACTGCACGCTGGTGAGATTTGTTTGAAAATGATGATGATTTATTGGAGATTGTGTAGTTGTAGAGAATAGTTTTTTGGCTGGAAGTTAGCAGATCTTGTAAGTCTTCACCTTCATTGCTGTTTTGTACAAGATCATACAACAATTGAGGATCTTGGATGTTTTGCAGATTTTTATAAGAGCATTTTTTTTGTTTAAAAAACTCTTGTTCTCGTCTTTCTTCCGCTTTCCTATTCCTCCACACTGGAATTTTCATTATTAGAAAGTCACAGCAAACACTAAATATTATCTTACCATTATTACTTCCAAGCTTTTCCATGTATTGTACAGGATAAATTCTTAAAATAAAACATTTCAAACGTCCAATTTTGCCACCGTTTGATGATACGCTGGTTATGGGTACCAAAAAAGGGCCAGAGTCTTGTTGAGCACCCAATTTGCACCACCACAATACCCGCCTGGTGCAATTATAATTAATTTTCAAATAAACTGAATCTTTTGCTTCTAAAGGATGACAGCCTTGGTCACAATTTACAATTTCCGAACCATAAATCATCAGTTTGAGGCCTATTTTAATTTTGGTTTTGGTTATTTGGTGGCATAATGGTTGATCTATGACTGTTCTAATCGAGTACCAACCATCGGTTAGTTCTAGTTCATATGAGAGGTTTTTCTGGAAAGATACTTGTGAATTCAATGAGACAATTTATAACTAACACCTACCTGTATTATATTTGACACACAAAGTACCATCCTCCTTTGAGAACAGTCATCCTTTTCAAATATCCTCCTCAAAATTGACCTTTTAGCATTGTCTATTTCCAAATCGTATCTAGAATATTATATTAAATCAAGTATTCCTCCTCATGTTGACAATTCTTCTCACCTATATTTTAATTGTTGCATCACATTTTCCACACTCAAACAATCCTCTTTGGTCCATCTTTCATAGCTTGCCAGTTTCCAGACAATCCACCTAAAATGGTTGTCAATCCAGCCTTTTGGAATCAAGGCCGGATCTATGTTGTCCATTAATTGAAAACTGTGAGCTATTTCGGGCAAGCCTATTTTATTGGATGTATTTGGTACTATTTGGGCACCGTCTGAGGTTTTTATATGAGACTGACTTGAAGTGAATTAAATTAAAACAAAATAGTCGATTATGTTATTATTACTAACCTAGTGTCAGAAACAGTAAAATGGACTAGATGGGCATTTTGTGGATTGATTTTATTTGTGATGTCATCAATTTTTCCATCAATAATGCCTAAATAATTCTTCAAAGACATCCTATTTTGTTTGGTTTTTGATTTATATAAAACCCCTGGTGAAATTCTAGTTTTCGTTGTTTGCTTTGTTAAAATTGTTTGTTTTTCGTTAATGATGCGTAGTTTTTCTTCCAAGAGGCGCTTTTCTTTGGTCAAATTTTCTAGCCAGTCTTGTACAGTTCCCTCAGTTGATTTATTGAGACTCAAACGATTGTTTTCAGATGTCAAGGTTTTGCTCATATAACTTGATGCAAAGCTATTTTTTTGTATAGGAGTTAAGTCACATAATAGAGGCTTAGCTAGAGGTTTTAAAGGCGTAGAGGTTCTGATTCTTTTAGCTTCAAGCTCCTCCTCGATTTCCTCAAACATAAGCCTGCCTCTTTTTAAGCTTTTCTCTGGGATGCTCATGGTAGGGGTATAAGAGCCTCGACATCCCAGACGCTTCTTTGAGGATTTTTTCAATAAATCACTGTCTGGTGTATTTATTGAAGGTCGTTGTACTTCATCAGTGAAACTTATTGATGGACTTTTCAAGGGCGTCTTAAAAGGAGTGTGAAATTTACTGATGGATTTCGGTGGTAGCGTAGTTATGGGTTTCATACCTAAACCGGAACAAGGTTTATATTTAGATGATGAAATATGAAGTAAGGCACGATTCCCACCAAGAAAAAAAGATTTTGTGAACAATTTACAAATAATATGGCGCAGTCAATTGGATCCAAACCTACATTCTTGTATGATAATATTAACACGTTGACTGCCGAGCCTGATAGATAAAGAAAATTTTCCTTTATTTTAGTCAAATAAAATCTGAATAAAATATTATTTCACGTATAAACTCGCGTATAAGTTTAAGCTTACGGTCCCGACTTAAAACACAGATGGTATAGCCATAAATCCTATATAATTTTGTTGATGCTTATACATATACACTATTATACAGGGTGTTCCACGAGATTTTACGCAGGTGATAACTTCGGAACGCGTCATTGAATGTTCCACTTTGTAATTTTTTGTCATTTTATTCAAAAAAGCCTTGACAAATAGGTACGGCATTGCCGAATTTGTAATTTAATTTTCCAACGAAAAAATTCTATACCTAATATACCAGGATAGATACATTTAGAATTCCGAAGTTGAGTTGCAGTCATCACTTGACCAAAACTGAAGCGAAAGTGGTGAAATTGGATGTCACAAACTCACAAATAGAAGCGGCAAAAAAAGTTACCCAGATTCTCGAAATTCAAATTACATTAGATGACGCGCGAGGGGTTATTCACTAAGGGAAAAATGTGAAGAGATTTCGGATTTAGCCCAATGGATTTTTGAGTCTGCTGAAAGATTTCTGACAGATTTCGGAGGGATTTCGGCGGATTTCGGAGTGATTCGTAAGGATTTCCGGGATTTTGATAGGATTTCGGACGAATTTGTGACACGATTTCGGGGAGTGATTAATCCCTCAATGACGCGTTCCGAAGTTATCACCTGGTAGGTAGAAAACCAGAAAATAAATGTATTCGTAAGCATGCCTTTAATTTCTGAGACTCGAGCTCCAAGTACCAATTTCTTTTGAATTTAAAGGTTGGAAATTGGCAAAGAAGTTTAGCATTTATACTGATGTGAAAAACTTGATTAATCAATATGTGATCTCCTTATAATTTAGGGACCATATGCGAGTCCTGATTCGGGACCTTTATCCAGTCCCGACAAAACCATCGATTACGTAATTTATTGACGTTATTCGGGACTTGATGTGGATCCCGAGTTGGGACTCTAGTCACAGCGGAATAATATACCCTCGAACATACCCTTAAAATTGAAATGAACATATTAGGTATATACTCGGGTATATATCTACAGCACATAGGGACATACATATAAAATAAATTTTGTACCTACACTATAAGTTTCTCAGAAATCCTTCAAAAATCTTGCTTGCAAATGGGACCAAAATGGACAATGAAATCAAATTTTATGTTAATTTGGTTTGATATTTGACTCCCTAACTAGGATTTAATCTCTGTTTATTATTAGGGACATACATATTATAAAATAAATTTTGTACACTAAAAGTTGTTGTGGATCAAACCTTTTATAAATAATAAATTAAGTAAATGGTAAAATATCACAATGGGAACCCTGCCCTATGAGTTCTTACCTGCCAAGTCACTGAAATTTTCCCCTTCGAAAATATTCCTTGCCACAGCTTTCCCACCTTCAAATTTTGGCTTTTTATGATGCATATTGGCTGTTTGAAAACCCCCAAACTTCGAACCCAGATCATCGAAATTTTCTCCTTCAAAAATATTTCCAGAAGTTTTTTGCATGTTGGCTGATGCAGATTGAAAACCACAAGATTTTAAGTTCAGATCGTCAAAGTTCTCTCCTTCAAAAATGTTTTTAAAACTAGTTTTAGATGATGATAAACTAAAATCTTGTTTTATCCTTAGTTGAGCTGATGCATTTTTGAAGCCTATACTTTTTGATAAATCATTTTGCAAAGCATCTGATGCTTTTTTGAAGCCTATATTGTTTTCCAAGTTTAAATCATTGAAAGATTCTCCTTCAAATATATTGTTTGGCAATTTTTTATCCTTGTTAGTAGATGTCTTTGGTATTGAATCATGTCTTACAAAACCGAAAAGTGCCTTTTTAAACCCTAAACTTTCTCCTTTAGTTGTTGTTTGGATCTTCTGGGAGCTTTCTAACTTGAAATTTGCATTAGATTGGAATGCTTCTAGCTCTAGTTTTGATTTTTCTATAGAAGATTTAGAAAATCCACGAAATTCTCCACTATTGAAAGATTCTTTGGAATTAACTGAATCATTTTTACCACTTTGTGAGCTTGTAGAATGTTCAATATCAACCAGAAATTTCATATTGTCAACATTTGGAATAATTTCAGGTGGTTTGAAACTAATTGCCCTAACTAAATCAGTTTTTTCCACTTTTAAGACCTCTAATTTCTCAATTCTTAAAATAATGTCTTGATTCTCACTTACATCCCACTTACTAGTAGTGGGTACATTTTCAAATGCCTCATCTAACTTAATTCTAGCGCTTTTCAATTTTAAGCAATCAAGTTTCAATTTTGGAACACTTTCTACAAAGCTATCAGAGGATTTTGGTTCTGAAACACTTTCTACCTTTTCTTGGAGCCTGGGTTTTGGTGGTTCTGGAACACTTTCTACATTTTCTTGGAGCCTGAGTTCCGGTGGTTCTGGAACACTTTCTACCTTTTCTTGTAGCTTGCGTTTTCTTCTAGATTTGAACTTAATGAACTTTCTTCCAGATCCTATTATAGGAGAAAGGGGCTCCTGAATGTCATTCACTGAAATGTCTTCATTCAAACCACTGCTTGTCGCAATTGCAACATCTTCGTCCATTTCAATACGGACATAATTTTGTAGATTTATAATTTAAATTTCTCCTATCAAAATTCAAATTCAAAAAAGTTTATTTCAAAATAAACAAACAAAACAAGTAAACAAAAGTAAGGTTATGACGTGTATCGTGATTTTAGGGATGGATATTTTTGAAATATCGATATTGTCGAATTAGAATTTATCTTATGATTAGATTTGATGGACACTGAGTTTATTTCCGTCTTTTTCCCTCAGATTATTAAAGAAACAGATATAAATGAGCTACATTTTCTTTGCATCTAATTCTACTAACCAGTAATACCATTAGAGAAGAGTTTATCGATATCCATAGGTATCGATACCATATTCTTTCAAAGTTTCTACTTTGTATCGATATTAGTTTTTTTTGTTTATGTCTCAATTTTTCCCGCTCGATTTTTGTTTATTCCCGGCTCTTGAATTTGCGGAAAGAGAACCAGTGGCGTACCTATGAATGTAGAACCATACGAAAATATACAAAACTGTATGATAATTCAAAAACTGTTTTATTGTATCGATAAGCCCTCTGCTATTACTTCAGTAAATAGAATTCTATGTTACTTAAAATGTGTCCTCAACTCAACTAGAAATGTTTTGATAGCTCCTCGTTATGATAAATTTGCAATTACTTGTTAAAGTCGATATCTTCTTTATTGTTAAAACAAGCATAAACAAAATAAACCGAAAATCTCATTAAATAGAATTCTATTTACAATTTCAATCTGGGATGTATGACATGCGCAACATGATAACAAGCGCGCGTTATTTTTGAATATTCCATTGAAGAGCGAAAAGACTCAAGTACTACTGAAATCGGCTTTAGTTTTAAACTTGTGACTTGACGCGCAGGTCGCCGATGGTACTGGTACCACCGCTCCATAAGTACCGAGTAATATTTTTGCTCTATTTGACCGCAAACTGTGAAATTGCTATGTAAAAAAACTAAAATTTAAATTTATTCGAATAGTTTTTTTTTCTGATAAGAATTATAATGTGCGATAAGGAAGTCGGTACCGAACTTTTTAAAAGTTGTTTTGCGCGTAGCGTTGCGGTGAATTCGCAATACAATAAAGTTGTTGCTAAAAACGAGGAAGTTGCGAAAAAAAGTACTGATGATAATAATTGTGAAGAAACTAGGGACAATTTTACTAATAATGGACTCGATTTGAATCGGTCCCTGGATTCGCCGGTACGTTACAGAAAGGTAAGAACAATAATTTGCTATTTTTTTAAATTTAGGTAAGTACTTTAGTACGATTCAAATAATGTTGGTATGTACTTTGTATCTACTTTGAAAGTTTGTCTCAACTTTGAAGCTGGATATCTCGGAAACTATAATAGCAACTTGAAATTAATTCGAGAAGTTTTATAGAGAATTTCGAATGATGTATAATTTAGGTATATCAATTTGCTCAAATATTATAGAAGATTTCTGCAATTATTCATAACTATTTTAGAACTTTAGTACGTTTTCTAAGGAAGTTTGTCTCGACTAAAACTTAACTTTGAAACTGAATATCTCGGAAACTATAATTTGAAAAGTTTTATAGAGAATTTAATGCTCTTTCGAATGATGTATAATGTATATCAATTTGCTCAAATAATATAGAAGATTTTTGCAATTATTCATAACTATGTTAGAATTTTAGTACTTTTTCTAAGGAATTAAATTTTTGTCTCGACTGAAACTCAACTTTGAAGCTGGATATCTCAGAAACTAATACCTACTTGAAATTAATTAGAGAAGTTTTATAGAAAATTTAATGCTCTTTCGAATGATGTATAATGTATATCAATTTGTTCAAATATTATAGAAGATTTCTGCCACTACTCATAATTATGTTAAAATTTTTGGTACTTTTTCAATTCAGAATCATTCAGAAATTTAATATATAAAATCAAAAAATAAAAGGTCACCAAAACATCTGTCCACTTCCATGCAAAATCTGCCTCTATTAACCGCAGTTTCTCAGAAATCCTTCAAAAATCAGCCTGCAAATGGGACCAAAATTTGGCTTCCCTAACAAAAGGACAATGAAATCAAATCTTATGTTAATTTCGTTTGATATTTGACTCTCTAATTAGGATTTAATCTATTTATTTTCTGTGTGCCAATAAAATTTAACTTCTATACCTGATGGATATACAATATACATAAATATTAAATAACAATTAACATTTTCCTAGAAAAAAAAAATCTAAAAATAACCAAAACCTCTGGAATGTAAAAACGCAGTCTCCCAAACTGAAAAAGTAATTTTAGAAACACATAATCGGACCCATTTATACTCTAATGTGGCCCGACAAAAATATAATATATGTCATCTCATCTAACATTTGCAATAAATTATAGGAGAAAAACACTTTCACTTCCCAAGTTTGGGAAAAATGTTTGCACCATTGTACTTGGCTAATTAACAAGCAAATTTAATGTTTGCCAATTGTATGCAGGAACCAGGAATTTGTCACACGACTCATTATTTATTGCTTAGGATTTTGAATGGAAGAAATTCGTTTACATAATTTGTTCTTGCAACTCTCATAAGACCGGAAACTGCTTTTTGTAATGTTATGGAAGAACGATTTCGATATCAAAGTCCTTATCGTATATAGGGGCAGTGTGAAAACAGGGGCAATTATTTTTTGAAAAAAAAAGGCAAAGCTGATTTGTATTGGATTGAATTGAAGGAGTTTTAGCCATGAGAATTCATAATATTAAAGATTTTCCAGGAACGATGTTCAAAATGTTCCAGAAAGATCTTGTGGTCATACTGCAGAGAAAACTTTCGTAATCAAAATAGATCGATGTTCTTAAATGTCTTCAAATTCTCTTTAAAGTGTGGCTCAAACATGCTTGCTTGGAAGATTCACAAAACCCCAAGCACGTTAGAATAATTATTTTTCTAAACAGTTAAAGTACCTACTACAACATAGGCACATATAAAAAAAAACTACCTAACGTTATATTACAAAAGTCAAGTTACGGTACCTAAAAGTCGACGTGCAAATACTGAAAAACCCTGTCTGCGTAACCACAAAGCATGGTTCCTGTAGTGTAGACAAAAGGTAATTGATGGGGGTCTTTGGTTTTTTTTTTCCTTTTTTTTTGTTTGTATCATTGGCGTAGAAACGTTTATTCAAATCCAATTCCTTTTCGATAACCACTTAATAATGAGCTTTAGAATTATAGTTAAGTAAGTTTGATTCAAAATTCCTCTTAGAACTATTTGGAACCCTATTGTTGGGTGTCATTAATTTTGAGTTGTTTAACATGGAATCTGGCTGAAATAGATTCAAAATTTGATTATTCTCATTTCTCGGCTTTCGATAAGGTTTACCATTTCTACAATTTAGGATCCAAATTAACCCAAAAGTGATCTCTCAAAAGTTTCACAAAACTGAATTTCTATGTATTTTAAGCTCTTCAGGCACATTTATCGCGTATCATTATTTTCAAAAAATCGTTACTCCATTAATAATAACTCAATCGCTTTGAGTTTTTAGTATTTTTTACATTGAATCATAAGGAAAAAGTCCTCAAAATTTCAACTTTCCACTCACTTTAGTTTTTGAATGAAAAAATTGTTTATAAAGTCTTACTTTACAAAACATCATTATTTTCAAAAAATCGTACTCCATTAATAATAACTCAATCGCTTTGAGTTTATAGTATTTTTTACATTGAATTATTAGGAAAAAGTCCTCAAAATTTCCACTTTTTAATCACTTTAGTTTTTGAGTGAAAAAATTGTTTGTAGAGTCTTACTTTACAAAACATCATTATTTTCAAAAATCGTACTCCATTAATAATAACTCGATCGCTTTGAGTTTTTAGTATTTTTCACATTGAATCATTAGGAAAAGTCCTCAAAATTTCAACTCTGCACTCACTTCAGTTTTTGAATGAAAAAATTGTTTGTAGAATATTACTTTACAAAACATCATTATTTTCAAAAAATCGTAACTCCATTAATAATAACTCAATGGCTTTGAGTTTCTAGTATTTTTTACATTGAATCATTAAGAAAAAGTCCTCAAAATTTCAACTTTCCACTCACTTTAGTTTTTGAGTGAAAAAGTTGTTTGTATAGAGTCTTACTTTACAAAACATCATTATATTCAAAAAATCGTAACTCCATTAATAATAACTCAATCGCTTTGAGTTTTTAGTATTCTTTACATTGAATCATTAGGAAAAGGTCCTCAAAATTTCAAATTTCCACTCACTTTAGTTTTTGAGTGAAAAAATTGTTTGTATAGAGTCTTACTTTACAAAACATCATTATTTTCAAAAAATCGTAACTCCATTAATAATAACTCAATCGCTTTGAGTTTTTAGTATTTTTTACATTGAATCATTAGGAAAAAGTCCTCAAAATTTCAACTCTGCACTCACTTCAGTTTTTGAGTGAAAAAATTGTTTGTAGAGTATTACTTTACAAAACATCATTATTTTCAAAAAATCGTAACTCCATTATTAATAAATCAATCGCTTTGAGTTTCTAATATTTTTTATATTGAATCATTGGGAAAAAGTCCTCAAAATTTCAACTTTCCACTCACTTTAGTTTTTGAGTGAAAAAGTTGTTTGTATAGAGTCTTACTTTACAAAACATCATTATATTCAAAAAATCGTAACTCCATTAATAATAACTCAATCGCTTTGAGTTTTTAGTATTCTTTACTTTGAATCATTAGGAAAAGGTCCTCAAAATTTCAAATTTCCACTCACTTTAGTTTTTGAGTGAAAAAATTGTTTGTATAGAGTCTTACTTTACAAAACATCATTATTTTCAAAAAATCGTAACTCCATTAATAATAACTCAATCGCTTTGAGTTTTTAGTATTTTTTACATTGAATCATTAGGAAAAAGTCCTCAAAATTTCAACTCTGCACTCACTTCAGTTTTTGAGTGAAAAAATTGTTTGTAGAGTATTACTTTACAAAACATCATTATTTTCAAAAAATCGTAACTCCATTATTAATAAATCAATCGCTTTGAGTTTCTAATATTTTTTATATTGAATCATTGGGAAAAAGTCCTCAAAATTTCAACTTTCCACTAACTTTAGTTTTTGAGTGAAAAAATTGTTTGTAGAGTATTACTTTACAAAACATCATTATTTTTAAAAAATCGTAACTCCATTAATAATAACTCAATCGCTTTGAGTTTTTAGTATTTTTTATATTGAATTATTAGGAAAAAGTCCTCAAAATTTCCACTTTCCACTCACTTTAGTTTTTGAGTGAAAAAATTGTTTGTAAAGTCTTACTTTACAAAACATCATTATTTTCAAAAAATCGTAACTCCATTAATAATAACTGAATTGCTTTGAGTTTTTTGTATTTTTTACATTGAATTATTAGGAAAAAGTCCTCAAAATTTCAACTCTGCACTCACCTCAGGTTTTGAGTGAAAAAATAGTTTGTAGAGTATTACTTTACAAAACATCATTATTTTCAAAAAATCGTATATTCCGAATAATATGTAACTGTTATTTGCATTACATCTTAAGTTATCTTATTTACAATTGCGATTGTCTGAATTAGAAATGAAGTTGGGTTTTTCTGAATTACAATCGGAAAAGATGTAGTTATATAGGCCAGTAACTAGATTTTACAAAAAACACTCTCGCATATTTAATTATTTTCCTGAAAAACTGTTGCAGGGATAATTTTGAAATTTTCTGGATAAAAAAAGGAATAATGGGAGCTCATTTAGGTGGAATTCGAAATTGATTCAGTGAAAAACAGTCACACGAAAAATTCTTGCAAATCAACTTCCAGAAACTAGATTTTACTAAAAACACTCTCGCATATTTAATTCTTTTCCTGGAAAACTGTCGCAGGAATAATTTTGAAAATTCTGGATGAAAAAAGGATAAATAGCAGCTCATTCAAGTGAAATTTCAAATTGATTCAGTGAAAAACATCTTTATAATTCGAATATTTCAACATTTTTCTGACAATATGTGATTGTGTACAAAAAGTGATGATCTAGAAAATCCTTAATCCAAATTCAATATACCTAACACCAAAAGAATGTATTTATAAAATCCAGTTTCTCTTCAAAACTTCCAAACTAATCCACCTCAACTTCTCAATTTGCCGTTCATTAAGTCCCTGAGGTTTCGCATCAAAGTTTTCCTGTTTGAATTTGGCATCTGATGTATCAATATGAGCAACTCCTTTATTCATAAGCATTTGATAAGAGTGACTCAAGCTGTGACGAAACTCAGCTTTTTTAACCTCCTCAGTAATTTCCTCTAAAAGTCCATCAAGTTTGAAGTCGCTTGTGTCCACCTTTAGTTGCCTCAAGTTCTCAATGAATTCCTCATAATATAATTCAACAAATTCATCTAAACGGTCTTTAATGACGTCAAACTTAACAGATGTTAACAAAAAGAATATCAAATCAGCTGCAACGCTGCCTTGTTTAGGAACTTGCAAATCCAGAATCATAACTTTAGGAGTTTCTTCACTGGTCGCCATAATGTTGTTGCACCAAAAATCCAAGTGCATTATACCGGCCCAAGGTTCTCTTATTTCTCTAACGCCAAAAGGCGAAGATTCTTCAATGTTCCTTGCAATTTGAGGCATAAAATCTGTCAATTCAGGAATTTCTTTGAGACTCTTTATAAGCTTTTGGTCAAAATGTGGCTTCATTTTTGTAAACCCGTTGCCAATGTCAGGACAATAGGGTACCAATTTTTTGGCAAAAAGTTCTGGGTTTTTGATTTTGATTGCTAATGGAATTGCGTGAAATGTTGCCAAGTCTTTTAAGATACTAATGGTACTTGTTGCCTCGAATCCCACATGGCGGTCCACATTACCATAACCTAAAAAACAAAGTAGTACCTATATTAATTGATTGTGATTCGTTCCCTGTCAATTTCATCTGAAAGTTTCTTGGGTTTAGGGATAGGAAATAGGAAAGAAAACTAATTAGTCTTTCGGTCAAAGTTTCGTCTTTAATCAAGACAAGGAATGTTGGTGAAGACATCTCAAGGATGAACCTTCAAGTCTAAGGCCCAAGAAACTTTCAGGTAGTACCTACAGTTTACTTTAATCTTGGCTCTTTTTCTATGATATTTTAGTACGTTGAATACCTGGCACAATCCCAGAAATGTTAGAGGAAAACACATAGGTATTATTAAATATTGAATAGTAAAACATCAACTTTGAAAAATCATAATTTGTTTATTCTTGATGGCTTTTTACTAATGAAATTCTATGTACATTAAACAATTAAACATTAAATCCAGTTTCTTTTCAAAACTTCCAAACAAATCCACCCCAATTTTTTCATTTGCCGTTCGTTCAGTTTTTTAGGTTTTTCATCAAACTTCTCATGATTAAAGCTGGCATCTGATGTATCCATAACAGACTCTCCTTTATCCATTAGAATTATATTAGAATGCCCTAAACTGTGGCCAAATTCAGCCTTTTTAACTTCCTTGGCAATTTCTTCTAGAAGTCCATCAAGTTTGAAGTCACTGGTATCTACTTTCAGTTGCCTCAAATTCTCAACGAATTCCTTATAATAGAATTCAATAAATTCATCTAAACGTTCTTTGATAACTTCAAGCTTAACTGATACTAACAAGAAAAATATCAAATCAGCTGCAACACTGCCTTGTTGAGGAACTTGCAAATCCAGAATTATATTCTTAGGAGTTTCTCCATTATTGTTGACCATAATGTTATTGCTCCAGAAGTCTAAATGCATTATACTGGCCCAAGGCTCTCTTATTTCTCTTACACCAAAAGCCGAACAGTCCTCAATGCCTTTTGCAATTTGATTCATAAAACCTGACAATTCAGGGATTTCCCTAAGACTATTTATAAGACTTTGATCGAATTCTGTCTTCATACTCTCAAAACTTCCACCTAAGTCAGGACAAAAAGGTAGCAATTTTTTGGCAAAAAGTTCAGGATTTTTAATCTTGATTGCTAAAGGAATTGCGTGAAATGTTGCCAAGTCTTTTAAGATACTCATTGTTCCAGTTGCGTCGAATCCCACGTGCCGGTCCACATTACCATAACCTAAAAAACAAAGTAGTATAATAGTTACAATACAATTTCTCTTCAACAAACTTTTGTGAATAAAGGCAATTAAAAAAACTATTATCCTTGAAAAAAAATATATATATTTGTTCAAAATAATAACCCTTATACAAAACAACTTAAATCCAATTCCTTTTCAAAGCCTCCTCAGTAATCCAAGTAAACTTTCTAATTTGTTCCCCATTAGGCTTGGTTGTTTCTTGCAACTGAAAATCTTCCGGCTTGTAATTGGCATCGGCGGAATCCAAACCGCTGTGGCCTTTTTCCAGCAAAATCATGTGACAGTGGGCCAAACTATGAGCAAACTCCGTATATTTCATTTCCAAATTGATTTCTTTAAGAAAACTTTCAAAACTATACTTTTGTGTATCAACTTTGAGATCAATTAAGTTTCCAATCAATAAGCGATAATAGATTTCTGTAAATTCATCGATTTTTGTTTGAATTAAATCAAAATTCACTGATGTCAATAGGAAAAATATTAAATCTCCTGCAGGACTTCCTACTGCAGGCATTTGTAAATCCAAAATAACATTCTTTAAGCCATTTGTCATTATGTTATTGGTCCAAAAATCCAAATGGGTACTAGTGACCCAAGGTTCTCGTATTTCCGTACGCTCAAATGGGCATGATTCATTGAAATTCTTATCAATTCTCTGCCTAAAAGCATCCAAATGTGGAATATAATTGAAAACATCTAAAATACTCTTCAAAAAGTCTTGTCCCATTTCTTTACTCATACCGAATTTGGGACAGTAAGGCTTGACTTTGTCATTGAACAAATTCGGATTCAAGGCTCTAATTGCCATTGGCACAGCATGAAATGCTGCCAGATCGTTTAGAATGCTTATGGTTGTAGGTTCATCGAAGCCTTGATGTCGGTCTATGTTTTTGAAGCCTGAAATTGTAAATAAGTTTATATCAGAGGTTAATTGGTGCAATTAGAGCGCACATACTTATCGAGTTAACTTGTTAATTCACTTATACACACGCCACCCAAATGCTGATTAGTCCGGAAAAAATTAAAAATTATTGTTAGTAATAATTGTCATGCTTGTGCTAACTAAATCTAGAAAAAGTTACCCACAAAATGATGTACAAGGTCGATGTGTAGTGACAATATTGTACCAGACTATTAAATTATTGAATATGATTTTTTAAATTTAAGATTCATATTTCCAAAAACGCACTTATTCTTGGACAAATTTCAAAGATTATCCAGGATATATATTTTAGAAATCTAAAAACTATGAAGTGGGGAGAAGTTCATCCAAAAATTTACTACTCATGCTTATTCTAGGTTCTAAAAAGAGCCTTAAGGCAAGTGACACACTGGAGAAATAAGTTTCATGAAACTTGTTGAAAAAAACAGGAAATTTGTTTCATTATCACAGGACACATATATTCAGATGAGGCGGCGCACACTGGCGTGTCTGAAACAGGAAAGCAGACATTCTTTCGCCAGTGTGTCCTGGCGTTTCTGAAACAGGAAAGCAGACATTTTTTCGCCAGTGTGTCATCCGCCTTAAGGCAGGCGACACACTGGAGAAATAAGTTTCATGAAACTTGTGAAAGAAACAGAAAATTTGTTTCATTATCACAGGACACATACGACGGCCAGTGTATCACACTGGCTTAAGAATGTCTGCTTTCCTGTTTCAGAAACGCCAGTGTGCGCTGCCTCATTTGAATGTATGTATCCTGTCATAATGAAAAAAAAATCTGTTTTTTCCAACAAGTTTCATGAAACTTATTCCTCCAGTGTATCATCGGCCTTAAGGCGAGTGATACACTGGAAAAAGAATGTCTGCTTTTCTGTTTCAGAAACGCCAGTGTGCGCCGCCTCATTTCAATGTATGTGTTCTGTAATAGTGAAACAAATTTCCTGTTTCTTTCCACAAGTTTCATGAAACCTATTTCTCCAGTGTTTAATCTAGAATCCCAGTACAATCTAGAAACAAATTGATACAGTTCTATAGAAAGGTTAGAATTCAATCTTGAATCCCAAGATACCACTAGATATAGAATAATTCTGGAATTATTTCCAGCTACGAGAATTCAGTCTGGAATTCCAGTTTAATCTAGGAGCAAATCGAAAAAAGAATTCAATCTAAAATTCCATTTCAATCTAGAAACAAATCAATAAAAGAATTCAATCTATAGAATCCCATAGTTTAATCTAGAAACATCTTGACATAGAATAATTCTCCCAGCTACAAGAATTGGATCTGAAATCTCAGTTTAATATTATCACCAAAATACATCGAACGCCCTTGCATTGAGCCTATATTTGAAAAAAACTGACCAATTCCTTACCCAAATACTTCAAGTTTTCAGTCAAAATCACCCCATCTAAATCCACCTTGTCGCTTTCAGGATCCAGACTAATTCTGGCCCCGTAAAACTGCTGGAAAAAGTCCAATTCTCTTCGAAGTCCCTGCTCTTTGGCAAAACTTTTCAAAGTCGGTATCACTGTAGTGTACCAAGCAATTTCCGATTTGAAAGTGACTTGAGTGTTGAACATTTCCTGGGTTACTTGGTTTAAGGGGGTACATTTCGCCACTGCATGGTATTCTTTGATTTCGCCACTTGAAGTTTTCACCTTTAAATAATAAAATGTATTGAATATTTAAATAATAAATTCAATAAGTACCTTAAAGTCCACTTTATACATGACGCTGCCATAGTTTTCGCCTGGAGGCAGCAAAGAAGACACTTGTTGTTCAACTAATTCACCATCAATAGTTCCTTTAATTAAATCTTCTAATTTTTCGATTTCCTTCTTGTTTGCCATGATGCAAGGCACTAGAAAAATTACAAGTACCGAGTCGAACAATATCGCAAGTTAAACTAAACTAAGTAGTACCAAGTAGTACAGCAATTGTCGTGTATCAATAAAAATTCAATTGACTTGAATAATGTATAATGTGGGCTGAGTGTTTTATTTTATTTATTTTTTTATCTGTAAGGCGGAATCGTGTTTTGATCTTGTTTGTTTTGTGAATTAGGAGGTATTTGAGAGTCACTTGATTTGTTATTTTTGAACATCGTTACATGGAGGTTGGGAAGTAGAACATTACATCACTGCTATAGGACTGGTTGCCAAAAACAAACAACACTTATTGTATAAGATTTTGTGAATTATATATTATGGAAAAAGTTACAATCCCCTTACAATTTGATTACAAATCTATTTGCGTCAGTATAATTTGCATAAATCCTAATAATGATTGGGGTACTTACGGTTTCATTTAAAATTATTGACACCAGTAAAAAGATATCGATACACGAGCACTGGTAAACTATGCATTAAACAAACTATCACAATAATACTAAAAGGCTAATTTGGCTTATCACTTTTGCAATCAAGGTTAAAGTGCTTAGACATGGTAATAGCGTTTAAACTTTATAGTTTCTAGAGCAATTAATACGTTATTTGTTCAAACAAAGTATCGATTACATCACCCTGTATATTTGGTTTTATCTTTATTAATTATTATTGTATTCATTTCCAATAAGTGCAAAATATATAATAAATATTTATTATACCTTGAAGTTTGAGATAATTTTGTAGCAATAAATATAGTTTTTGACCCTTGAATGGATGAGGTATATTTGTGTTATCGAAAGCTGGATCATTACGTAAACTGAAAGGGAGTCTACTAGTACAATATTATATCATATGTGAATATTAATAATATTTATGTGAACCAAAAAACCAGAAAGTGTTTATTTTGAACTTTTGATCGCCTTCAAAAGAATTATTTAACAAATCAAGAGCCGGTAATAGTTATATTTTGATTATTATTGGCTCTTGGATGAATCTTCTAAAGGAAATCAAGAGTCCAAATTGGAATTATTAGAACTCCAGTTGAAATCCAGAAAAAGATCAAACCTTCTCCAAAATACGATGCTATACTGTTTATTCTCATTTCAAAATCATTTTCTTGGGACATGATTGGAAAGAAATTATCCATGAAGGATCTTGAAAGAACTGGATAATATGGGAAGACCTGAAAAATATTCTGCAACATAAAGGGACTATTGATAACAAATCTAGTAGTTTCCAAATTATCAACAGTCAAAGTTTTGATATCGGAAGTCAGATAAAAGTTTATGCTATGGGTTTATGAAGAAATCAAAAATTTACCAAGGATAGCAGGATTAGGATGTTGGATGTGATACAGCACTTCTGAATGGTTTTCAGTTCATGTAAAATTTGCTGGACTGGGAAACCAAGGAACTAGGAAAGCTATCGGTACGAAATTTCATCAAATTGTAGATCTGGATTGGATCTTCAACAAAGGTTATTTGGGGCACCGAGCCCTATGGCTTTCTTTCTGAGATAACCGGCTTTGAAGGTTTTCCAAAATTTGAGACAAAGTTTCAACTTTGAGGCTCAATATCTCGAAAACTACTTGAGATAAATAATTCAATTTTATTTTATCTTAAAGAACGATTAATTCTGATTCAGATCGTGTAAATATACATTAGAATTTGTAGAATATTAATCGAGTTATGGGCGATTTTGTGAGGCAATGTTGGATGATCAAAATGTTTCAGGGCCTAAAATGCAAAAATCACTTTTAATTTTTTACAGAGCTCAAAACCTCAGAAATAAAAATCACGGGGAAGCTTTTTCACTAAGTTTTACCCCCTTTTTCGATTGGTTAAGCCAAAATTCAAAAAATTTGGAAAAACCGAAATTGAAATTTTTCCAAGGGGTATGTAAGGAAATTTCATTTTCAAATATTTCAAAGGGTCTTATCTTGGAAACCAAAAAAGCTATCTAAACGAAATTTTGTCTAGTTATAGATCTCGATTGGGGCTTCAAAAAAGGTTATTTGGGGCACCGAGCCCTAGGGCTTCCTTTCTGAGATAATCAGCTTTGAAGGTTTTCCAAAATTTGAGACAAAGTTTCAACTTTGAGGCTCAATATCTCGAAAACTACTTGAGATAAATAATTCAATTTTGTTTTATCTTAAAGAGCATTTAATTCTGCTTAAGAATCTATACATCTACACATTGATTTTGTTGAATATTAATTGAGTTACAGGCGATTATATGAGGCAATGTCGGATAATCAAAATTTTTCAGGGCGTAAAATGCAAAAATCATTTTTAATTTTTTACAGAGCTTAAAACTCGAGAAAGAAAATTCACATATTGCTTCTCCACTAAAATTGACCCCGTTTTTCGATTGGTGATGTCAAAATTTTGAAAAAATCATAATTGAAATTTTTCAAGATATTGGGGCTTTGAAGGTTTTCCAAAATTTGGGACAAACTTTCAAATTTGAGGTTCTATATCTCTAAAACCATTTCAGATAAATAATTCAATTTTGTTTTATCTTAAAGAGCATTCAATTCTGATTTAGAATATATAAATATGCATCAGAGTTTGTGAAATAATAATTGAGTCATGGGAGATTTTAAGGGCAAAAATGCAAAACATTGTTACATAATATGGTTTACATCAATGTACCTAATATGAATTTCACATCTACTTAAACATCACAGTATGCGTTTGAAAATTTTCTTGTCACATTTGAAAAACTGTTTAAAATATTAGCAACAATCTATAATCAAGATTTCGAATTAACCGCTATTTTAGTCAAGCGAAACAATAGCAGCACCTGCTTTACAATGAGAAAACATGATGTAAGGAAACTTTCTGGCCGCTCACGTAGCGATAACATCGTAGGCCGATGGTTCTTTTGTCTTCATCCGTTTTATTTAATTATTTGGTATCCGCTCAACAATGAACAATGCCAACATCTTCGGTTAACGTGTTATTTTAGTGACTTCCTTTTACGTTTATTTGCATATTACCACTTTTAGGTTTTTCTTGATGAAATTTTTAATGATTCAAAGTGACATCAAAAACAAAAACCGTAATTATTTCCGGTATAATTACTAACATCATGTAACATACATATAGTTTTTTGATTGTGAAGAAGGTATAATTTTCATTATCAACTTTCCACAAATTGCCATCTATTTTTATAATGGATTTCCAAAAAGTCGTTTTCAAAAATAGACAAAAAGAACTTGATTTTTAAAAATAGCCTCGAGGTATTTACAGTAACACTAATTTGTCTTTTTCAATTCACGCGAACCAACCGCCATAGTCGAAAAACTTCTCATTAGATGAGTCACATATATAGACTTCCCATCATTAAAGTCATACACCTGAAACGCTATAGTAATTTTACGAGTGCAACGACATTGTCTTTTTAGTTGTTGGACAAAAATGTACGGTTTATTTCAGTCACTAATTACTTTATGTTGCTTTAATTGAAATTATGTTTTTTACTGCTAAAGTCTATAAATATTGAAGTGCTCACTGATAATCCATCAAATATAAAAATTGACTTAAAAAACTTCTTAACTATTCAGAGACGTGATTTTTGGAGATTGAAAAATAATTAACGAGTTTAGATATTTACTGCACGCCACTGATTCGATCAAATGATACTTATATAATATGCAACAATTTATAGGAAATTTTATTGGCTTTAATTGTTATATCTAGCATTTTTTCTCAAAAATCAGTCGTACCCGAGATATTTGCCTCATAAGCTAAAATTGTACCTATTGGGGTGATTTAGGGGTTCCTTGTACCCTCGGAGGTGTACGGGGACTTTTAGTATGTTTATCTATAGACAAAAAATTCTACATATTCTCAAAAAAATTAGATAAAGGTGATTTTGTTTCACGACAGGATTTAACTGGACTACAGTATTTGCCATTATGTCATCTATATAAGCATTAGAATTAGATCATCAACCCCCGTAAACACATTTGTGATATTAATGTAAAGTTTATATAAAGTTGAGATCATTTTTGTACCAGCATTAGTTTCATTGTCAAGTTTACGTAAATGTAAACTACTGGTTTAGATGGACATTACTTCTAGACCGAGGGGTCAATTACTATATGCTTACAAATGTACAATGATTTCCATATTTGGCAATCACTGATCAATGTATGTATTCCCATTCCAAGAATTGCGACTGATTGCCAATGATTTTCAGATATTTTTATATGAACATTCCCAGCGATTATCACATAATTCAATGGATTCCTATGTTATTCCCATGGAGTCCTAGGAGATTCCTAGCGATTCCCAAGTTATTAGGAACTCCCAAGGGATTTCCATATATTCCTGATTGATTACTATGTGATTTACAAAAAAATTTACCTACACTAGGGGTTTATTCCTCGTTCCAGACTTTACATTTTCTACAAAAATGGTTCAATCATATTTTGACTATTATCGGCTCTTGATTTCTTCGATATTTCTTCTGAGTGAAATCGAAAGTCCTTTATTGCCGACTTTTGATTCGTTTCATAATTTTTCTGGAAGCAATCAATAGTTCAAAAGTTCAAGATAATTATCAGAATTTGGACTATTACCGGCTTTTGATTGCATTCAAAAAAATCATGTACCTACGACAAATATGATTTCCTGATGGACAATTTATCTAAAACACTCAACAGCCTTCTAAAGTCTAAATTTGGACTTGATTTCCTTCAGAAAAACCATCCAGCGAATCAAGAGCCGGTAATAATCAAAATATAACTTTTACCGGCTCTTGAATAGTTCGTCTGAAAAGAAAAATTAGAGGCAAATAGTACCAGATTTCCAAATTCTGTAAAAATGTATAAATGCTTTTAAACGCGCATGAGTTTTCAGGAGATGTTAGGATTATTTTTGGTCTGGTAGGATGAAACCAAAGTCTGTGAAAACCCAAACTAAATACAAAGTTAAACTACATCAACCAAGAACCAAAAACCACAAACCGAATGTTACATTGGTGGCGCTATCTATTCGCGAATAAAAAATTATTGTTATATCGAATTTAGATACAGAAATTCAAAACAATATTAATTACAACATAAACTAATAAGACAGTAGACTATATGACTTTATTTGGATAAATAGAAAAAGTTCAAAATGGTACCAAATATGCCAGCGTACTTTTTCCAAGCGACTGGTACCAAATCTGATACAATTATACCACTTCTGGCAATACTGCAAACCAGAGCTAGTTTTAATAGAAAATTTGGACTAATATATTACTGGCTCTTGATTGCATTCAGAAAAAATATAGCTACGACAACTTAAGAGCCGGTAATTATCAAAATTCTTATGCATATTTATATATTCTTAATCAGAATTGAACGCTCTTTAAAATAAAACAAAACTTAATTATTTATCTTGAATAGTTTTTGAGATATTGAGCCTCAAAGTTGGAACTTTGTCTCAAATTTTGGAAAACCTTCAAAGCCGATTATCTTCAAAATGAAGCCCTAGGGCTCGATGCTCTAAATAACCTTTTTTGAAGCCCCAATCGAGATCTACAATTCGCCGAAATTTCGTACCGATAGCTTTTCTGGTTTCTAAAATATGGCCTTTTGGAATATTTCAGGATGAAATTTCCTTGCATATCTACCCCTTGGAAAAATTTCAATTTTGATTTTTTCAAATTTTTCTATTTTCAACTTTACCAATCGAAAGAGGAGCTTAAATTTAGTGAAAAAGCATTTTCGTGATTTTTCTCTTTGAGGTTTTAGGGCCTGTAAAAAATTCTAAATGATTTTGGCATTTTTGACCCTGAAAATAGCCCATAACTTAATTAATATTTTACAAATTCTGATGCATATTTATATATTCTTAATCATAATTAAACGCTCTTATGGATAAAACAAAATTAAATTATTTATCTTGAACAGTTTTCGAAAGATTGAGCCTCAAATTTGAAACCTTGTCTCAAATTTTGGAAAATCTTCAAAGCCGATCTCCAAAATGAAGCCCTAGGGCTCGGTGCCCTTTACAACGTGTTTTGAAGCCCCAATCAAGATCTTCATATGAACGAAATTTCGTACAGATAGGTTTTCTGGTTTCCAAAATATGTTTCTTTGAAATATTTGAAAATTGAGGGCCAGTATTTCAATGTCACCTTACAGAATAATGCTAAGTTATCCTTAATACAAGTTTCACCGTTTATCAAAGTTCCCTTAATTTAAGGTGGATCTTAAGCCACCTGAATAAACTGATTAAGTTCACCTTAATGTTAAAGGGACCTCAGGTGGAGGGTCGTTTACATTCACTTAACTTAACCAACGGAAAATTAATAATAAAGAAAAGTTGAAGATCATGTACTTATATTATCCGTTCACAATCCGATGTCCACAGGTAGGTACAGGTAAAATCACCTTTCAATGCTATTTGATAGGGAAAGGTGATAAATTTACCTGCACCTGTGGACATCGGATTGTGAACAGGATAAATAATATGTAGTTGGTAACATCCACTTAAAAATTAACAAAATTAATGTAACGCACGGAAAAGTTGAACTAACTTCCCGATTGAAGTAGTCTGTGATTATCAATGTCATTGGTGATCACACGTAGGAAAATTAACTTCATTGTGAACCATTGGTAAACACACACCTTCTCAGTTTCGTACGTTAATTATAATTTTGCGTACGGAAAGTTAAGTCGATGTAAATGACTCTTTAGTCTTGATCACAAGTCTTGATTTCAAGGTAAACATTTGAAATATACCGGCCCTAAATTTCCTTGTGAATGGTGACTTCTATGATGGTGACTTGTTATTATTTGACAAGTTTGTCATGCAAATTCCAAAAGTCTGCTGAAAAAACCTCAATAAATAAAATACTTATGGCTAAAAATGTTTATTATTTTTGTTTTGTTTTATACACACAGAAAATTTGAAAAAAAAGAATACTGATACATCGACAATTGGATAATCATCTCACGGGACAACTATGGCCCTTTTTCTTCCTTGCCCTCCTGCTGCGACTCCTCTTCCGACACCCGTGCCCTCTGCGGCCTTTCCTGCCCCTTCTCCTGCTCCTGCTCCTCTTGCGACCCTTGTGACCCTTGCGCATACTGCACGCTTCATTGTAAAACCTCTGGCGGTCTTTGTCTGACAATTTGCACCTGGAAGTTATTCACGTTTATATTACAAGTTATGATTATATTTGAGTTGCTTACCAGCACTTGGCACCTTCAATAGCGATTTTGTACTGAGGCCATTTGCAATGTTTCGAGCGAAACACTCTTAAATAATTGAGAAAAGGGTTCTTGGTTTGTTTGCCTGGACGACATTTTTTCGAATGTTTACCCCTTCTTCTGGACCGGCCTCTTCGGGATCTGCCTCGGCTCCGGCTCCGGCTGCGCTTCGACGAGTGACAGGATTTCCTGCCGTGTCTTTTGGATCTGCGTCTTCTTGATCTTGATTTGGATCTACGTCCGCCTCCGCAACTCCTAAACAAATCTAAATTAGCAATTTATTTTAAACGAATGATTACTGTTACCGTTTTCTGGATCTGGATCTGCCATGACGTCGTTTTCTGGATTTACTTCTGCCGCCTCGTTTTTTGTGATGATGTCCTCCGCTCTGTTTACAGTAAACCGCCGGTGTGATGTGTCGGCAGCCTGATCTGGACCTGCTTCTGTGTCCCATAAGGAACGACCAAAATTTCGACGAAAAAAAATACAGAATTTATTTAGTTTTGGGCCTGGAGCTGATTTACTGACGTTGCAATTTTGATATTTGAAACATGATTATTGATTTGGTTGCATGGCGGATTTGTCTTCGTTTGTTTCAAGGCTTTGAGATTTTTTTTTGTTTTTGTGTCAGCAGGTTGTATAGGTGTCAATTTAATTTAAGGCTGGATTCAAACGAGAATAATTCTTGTCTTGTTTAAATCTGGTCGCAGGAAAATTTCTAAGCGAAAGCTGCATGGCGACTCGGTGTTATAATAATATTTCTTCTCTCGATAAAAGGAAATTCGTTTTATCGGCGACGAAAGAATTTCCTGGTTCGTACTTTAAGATAAATCGTTTATTAAATCAATGCATTCGACAATAAAACTGAGAAATTTCTATCGTAAGGAAGCTGGTCTTGTATTGGAACTGGGTAATTAATTATTTTAATGTTTGATATTAATATAAATTTTTGTCTATTCCAGTTCTCGTTTCACATAATATGTGAATTTGTGATTACATTTGTATATTTGAAAGTTTTTCCTTCTTGAATATGGAAAAGAGTATTATTTTGTTTTTTCCTGAGATATTAATTTCAGATTTAGCTTCACTATTAAAGAAGATTTTGATTTATGAATCTCGAAAGTTTCAAATCACTGTGAAATCATCTGAAATCAGAACTAATCACCCAAATTCAGCGTAAGAAAAGACTATACAAAATTTATGTAGGAAGTATGCAGACATTTTCCATTATCCAGACATGTCCCTGACCTTTACAAACCAAATCGAATACCATATTAAAACAAAAGATGAGATTCCAGTGTACATCACACCACATATCCATAAAGAAGTGAAAAATCAGATATCTTCCATGTTGGATCAAGGAATTATCAGACCAAGCTATAGTCACATTGGTCTTCCCCGATATGGATAGTTCCAAAAAAAAACAAACACCTCCGGAAAAATAGAATGGCGGATAGTAGTGGACTATAGGAAAGTAAACCAGAAAATTATCGACGATAAATACCCAATTCCAAACATAACAGACATCTTGGACAAACTTGGTAGATGCCAGTACTTCACCAAATCGAAATGGCTAACGAAAATATATGCATACGAGTATGTCGGGATGCCGTTTGGCCTAAAAAACGCTCCAGCTACGTTCCAGAGGGTAATGGATAACGTTTTGAAAGGCCCCCAAGGAGAAAATTGCTTAGTGTACATGGACGATATCATTGTGTTTAGCACTCGAGAAATTCTCGACGAACGACAACATTCTCTCGTTTCGCCTCGACTTCGAGAGAAAATTACCAAAGACGCATATAGATTTGTGAAAAAAAACAATATTAGAAAGGCCTGTTTTTATATTTTCGAAAAGTGGAATTGTACGACAATTTTTGCTTACCTTGACAATATTTTCTATTCAAAAAATTGCACTTTTCCAGTAAATTCAATTTCCCACATCACAATAAACATTCCAAAACACTTTTCCGCACTAAATTTAAAGGAAAATCGCGAAATATCCGAGAAAATCCCTGAGCAGCCATTTTAAAATGGCCGTCCAAGGCCTACTTTGATGGTTTTTAAAAACGGGAAGTTAGCAAATATGGCCGCCAATGATAATTTTGGATTTCTTTTGATTATTTTCTTGCTACAAGGAATGTTGAAAAAGTACTAAAAATTGGTTAAAAAACGGAAAATATTTGGAGAATTATACACAGGATCTTAAAACCGAAATTACAGTTTTCTGTGAAAAAAAAAGTTATGGCCGCTTATGGTAATTTTTGCTTGCCTTCTTGGAAAAATTACCATTTTCCTGCTGCCTCTGAAAAATTCGATGCTCCACATCACAAGGAAAGTTCCAAAACATTTAAATTCCCGTGAAAATTGGAAAAAATCACAATTTTAAAATGGCCGCCCAAAGCCGTTTATTATGTTAGCTAATAGACACTTTAAGTTAGACAAAATACGTTAACGCTAACGTAAGATTTGACAGCTGCGCATGCGCAGTTTATTTTTACCAAAAATAGCGTGTTACGTGTCACGTTATTTAACGGGTCTTTGCGTGTACCTTATCCGTAAACGTTCCTTAAACCGAGTGGGCCCGAAGGCCAGATTGCCGGTGTCGAACCTTGCCGAATGTATTTTAACCTTAAAAAAAAGGTGTCATGTAATTCAAAATAATCAAAATACAAAAAATAATTTCTAATTTGTCCTTTCCACAACAAAATTTAGAGGTTACATCATGATTTTGAGATATAACGTTAACGTTTACGTGAAAATTTAACTTAATATGGCGGCATCGGTCAAACATTTGTGATGTATGTTTGTTTGTACACTACGAAAAATTATCCTTCTCGAATGATAGAAAATCGCTTTAAAATTCCACAAATTACACACAGAACAGTCGAGAAGTTCTCGACATTCGACGACATTCTCTTGTTTCGTCTCGACTTCGAGAGAAAATTAGTCTTTCGACTCTTCACTACCAAAGACGCATATAAATTTGTGAAAAAATACAATATTAGAAAAGCCTGCGTTTATAATTTCGAAAAGTGAAATTATACGAAAATGTTTTCTTACCTTGACAATGTTTTCTATTCGGAAAATTGCACTTTTCCAGTAAATTAAATGTTCCACGTCACAAGAAACGTTCCAAAACACCGCACTAAATTTAAATGAAAATCGGAAAATATCCGAGAAAATCCCTAAACCGCCATTTTAAAATGGCCGTCCAAGGCCTACTTTGATGGTTTTTAAAAACGTGAAGTTAGCAAAAATGGCCGCCTATGATAATTTTGGATTTCTTTTGATCATTTTCTTTCTACAAGGAACGTTGCAAAAGTACTAAAAATCATGGTTAAAAAACGGAAAATATTTGGAGAAAAACCAAAATTATACACAGGATCTTAAAACCGAAATTACAGTTTTCTGTAAAAAAAAAGGTTATGGCCACTTATTGTAATTTTTGCTTTTATTGGATAAACTGCCATTTTCCTGCTGCCTCTGAAAAATTCGATGCCCCACATCACAAGGAAAGTTCCAAAACATTTAAATTCCTGTGAAAATTGGAAAAAAATCACAATTTTAAAATGGCCGCCCAAAGCCGTTTATTATGAAAAATGAAGTAAGTTAATAAGCCTTTACAGAAAAATTGATCTGATTAACCTCCGATCACCAGGTGATGTAATTTGTCTTTTTTCAATCATGTTTGTTGGAGAAAGATGGAAAAAAAACATCAGAGCATCTGCACAAAGACCATTATAAAACACTTTTCCACACTAGAATCGAGAAATTTTCGAGAAAACCCAAAGCAAAATACTACGACGCGAAGGCCATTTTTGTAAAAAAGCACCTTTTTAAAATGGCCGCCCAAGGCCTACTTCGATGTTTTTGAACTGTTAGCTAATGGAAAATTTTCACTTTTCTTGATGAAGAATTAGATTTTCCTTGAAAATTACCACATGCAATTTCAATATGGCTGCAACGGTCAAAAATCAAGAGCCTGGAATAGGAAAAATAATGAAAATACAAGAAGTTTAAATAAGAAAGAAATTAAAACTAGAAACAGACAAGGCAAACTAATAATATATGGAAAAAAAGCTGAGAACAAAGACAAACAAGGACTGGGAAGGAGAAAATATCAGAAATTGTCTATTGCGAATTTAACCAAAAATCGCTTCAATACTCATTCAAGATTGAAATTACTTGTGTAACATTTTGTCATGCTTCTTTGACGATGAAGAAAGTGTTTTGACCAAAAACAATTTAGATTTTTGGGTCATTTTCTTCATTATGCTCGAGTGCTTAAAATATCTCAAAAATTTGTTTGATGTCACACACATATGGTGCCTCAAAGGGTGTTTATTTTTACACCTAAACTAAAAGCAATATTGTCCATTTGTCATATAGGCTTTGAACATATTGGATCTGTCGTCAAGATTCTATTTAAATAAGCAGATTGTGAATTTATGCTGCATGTATACTTAGGAGAAGAAGAGAATAATAAATCAAGAAAAAAAAAAGAACAGCTATAGCAAATGTTTACACTCTCGATAAATAAGAACCCAGTTAACGGGGGTCTTGTTATAAAAGATGTTTGTAATGTTTTTTGCAGCAAACAGACCTAAGAATCGTTATTAATCATAAAATTATTACAATAAATTAAGCTGAATTGGCATATTATGAACATGAACGGGATTTTTCAAGTAACATTTGCCGTTTCAGTTCAAGCTTGAAACATCTTTTCAGCAATAACGTGGGCGAATTATGTATGCCAAGGTGGATATTGTTAATTAAATTCAAGAGTGGTTCCATAAAAACGACTTGATGAGGTAGGTATTTAGGCGCCGTTTTGCGAAAACCGGGTAAAAGTAGGTGAAACCTGTAACTTTATTGCCAAGAATTTCAATGATTCAGATAAAGAAATCAAGAGAATAAATAGGTCAACTAGAATTTGTTGTTCAAGATTTCTTCGGGCCTTCCAGACAACATACTGAAGATTCTGATTCTAATATTCACTACATAAAAGTCCCTCAACAAGTTTTTCAAAGGCTTCCGTTCAATTTCCATTCTGCATTTATTATAGTAGTAATAGGATATCCTTTATATTATTGTACCTTACATCCTTGTGAATCCATTCAAGCTTTGATTAGATTTTGTAATATAAACTAAATTTTTATTTTCTTATTGCCACACCTGACCACGATGTTTGCAAATAATAACTTCAAAGACCGCGCCCCAATGAAGGGCACGATTCCATGATTTGATCAAATTCTTACGCAACTATAGTTTATTTAATAAAGTGTCAGCATATTTGATTGTTTTAATTTAAATTGCTGATTCGGACGTGTAGACATTTTGTTGTTTTGAAAAATAGAATTATTGAAATTCTTCACATAAAACCGCAAGAATTACTTTTGTAACTTGATTTTGCAAAATAAACTTGATATAGGTTCGAATGTGTCCGGCTCTGCGCTTGTCTAAACAGCTAGGTCACATTTCTATGAAGTCTAGAATTTGATATTTTTTGGCATCATCTTTTTAATTGAAATGATACACTTTATTTATACTTGATTTTTCTTAAGATATCTGATATTTGATAGTTT